GCCTGAAGCACGTGATCGGACCAGCGACCATTTATGTATAGTCAAGCATCTCTAACAACTGACCTACATCCATCAAATTCCGATGTAGCCGATATCTTTCATTTTTTGTCCATAGTATGCCGTTACTAAGTGATTGTGTATGAATTACTAGCAGCAATTCTGATAAGAAGGCCATCTGGCTTTTGTACTTTATTCAGTTGCCATAACAAGGAAGACTGTAAAGCTCATCTGTCACCACTTCCCTTTCTCTTGTATAAATTTCAAGTTTCAAAAGAATTCCAGCATAAAAAATTACTTTTTAAAAAAATTTTAGTTTACATTCTAAGTCGGGAATTAGCGGAGACTCCACTAATTGATCTCCGACTATTGCTCGCTATAAATCTATAAATGATTGTTTAGTTATCTGCTCCACATAAGAGTAGGTGAACGACTGGTTCTGAGGTGTTGAATGAACAGGCAAAGTGCATAAATATCACCCGGAAGAAACCGAGAACAGATTGCCTTCCATTCATGGACGGTCAGTCCAACGTCCGCGAAGAGCACAGAAAATGGCCGTTTCTAATGCTAATGGCTACGAAACAATGGAAGCCCTTCACGTTGGATTAAGAGGAAAGCGATGCTACTAAGCAATAAGTCAAGCGAAAATAAGGTCACGTTTATCCTATTCTTTATGTCCAACGAAGTAAGCGCGACTATTGAACTATGCTTGAGAAGGGCAGATTCGGTCAAATCTGCACTAAAATCTGTTTGCCACTTCTTGTTCTGACGTCATGGGATAGTGACTGGGTAGGTTGCGAATCAATTTAACTTTTCCAGGCTCTGAAGATGGTATATCGAAACATCAGTCATTATTTTGTTGCGCTACTTCCTTTGATTCCACTTCTACTTGATTCGTCTTTACAGTTTTTTTTTCACTGATCGGATCCCAGCACTTCTGACATTTAAGTCGTTTGTGGTCTGATTCATGAACGCCTTAGAATCTTGGTGAAGCACATTCTCTTGCGATTCTCGAGGATAGCCAGGCCGCGGCATTCCCTATGGCGTTATCGATTGTTGGATAGTAATGGAAGATATTGATCATTCCCACATCACGCTATACCGGTTGCACCGCGCTGTTTTCAACAATTTCTACTACAAGGTCGCTGCATAAGTTTCGGCACTAAAGCAGTAAACACCAAATTTGTGAACATGAATTCACAATTGGAAGATTTTGGTATCCTTAAATCACGTATTTTCTTGCGAACATTTTGGTATATAAATTGCCTATACTTGCTTCACGATGAGCTGAGGTGGAAAAAATTCGCTTGTTACTCATGCACAAATGATGCGTAGGGAAAAATGCTGGTGAAGCGGCGGGCAAGATCAATGGAGCTTGGGGCTACGATGCGGTTATACAAAGGCGGCTTGAAGTGGTTCACGAAAGTCAAACCTGGAAAAAATAGTCTGGAGGATCAGTCGCAGTCGGGTCGTCCACAGGAAGCTTTAGTGACTTTGCGCGCCGCTTCACTACCATTTTCTCCTACTCACCATTCGTGCATGAGTAACAAGCAAATTTGTTCCCACGACAGCTCCATCTTAAACCAAATATAGGCATGTTGCTTATCAAAATGTTTGCAAGAAAATCGCAAATGAACGCTACCAAAATCATGCGATTTAAATTACTTCTGGTTTATAAATCTGGTGTTTACTGCTCTAATGCCGAAACTAACGGAACGACCTAATACTAACAACCTCACGTCTGCTCATTGAGAAAAGCCGAATTAGTTATTCATTGCTGAGGTTCTTTGATTGTCGGTCCTGGGAATTACTTTATGAAATTCTCTAGTTCAACGGGATCATATGTGAGGAACGCAACATCATAATATGTCGAATTCTCCTCAGTGCGTTTGTTTTGGTAGGAGTAAAAAGTGTTCTCTGTTCGAGATGTAGTGGTCAAAGCAAAGAGGTCTAGTCGTATAAACGATCTCACTGAGTCAAGTTTGATTTGAAAACACATCAAAGTAACGCCCCGAGTTGCATCATCGATTTATGCGTTACATTAGCGAGATTATACGAATATGTACTGTGTTTTCAGCCGTTTTTACAAGCGCTACAAAATTTCCAACGAATTGTTTCCTGTGTTAGATTCTTTTGTAATAGAGCTATTGTAATGCTTGTAAACGCCTCTAGTTCGGATATTTGTGGCATGTTGACAAATAATTTGAGAACTCTGAAAAGGCGCAACACTTCATCGAGCTGCTTCTCAACGTTGACCTCATCGCCGTCTGTCGCACGATTTACATAATCTGATCCGCTGCTGTCAAGTGGTTCCAACGGCCTATTTACGAAACGAATTGACAAATACGAGACTCTTAAAAACGATCGTATAGAGAAAGCCGCATCACTGCAGTCGTCGTCGTGTCGCGTGCTTGATGAGTTCACTTCTCAGACTTGACTTCGTACAGTGAAGTTTTTTGATTCATTAAGTGGTGCCTGCCTCCGCGACGATTTGATTGGTTCTCGTTCAGCATTCACTCGTACGTGGAACTAATTCGTCGCTATTTGTCAGTTAGTGTCACGATCTTTCTGCTCTTAAGATTTAGTGGACCGATTTACGAACCACGACGTATACATCTCCCCACCACCGAAATCTGCCCTTTCCTAGTTCGTCTCGTTTCTCAATTACATTCCTACCGTCGTTTGTGGTATGCACGACCTTGGAACACTCCAATCCGCGTATTTCATTCTGCAGATTCACTTTATGCACGTGAAGAAATAATCCTTGTAGAATCTTTGTAAATGAAACTTAATAGAGTAAATAAATAAACTGTTGAGTCTTTTCCCGACCAAGGGTTATACAGTGCGAATTTGTACTTCATGATCAGAATCGTTAAATATGTATATATTACAATTTGCTCACTCTACAGTGATACCGCTAGAAAGTATGTACAAAAATATTCTTTTTCGAATGGTATGAGCAAAACAACCGCTTGTGTGATTTCCACTGCCACTGGCATATATTAGTCGATGTATTATGCAGAAGAATGATGAGGAAATAGATTTTGTTTTAGTTCTAGGAAGAAAACTATTTATACAATTTTTTCAAGCAGAGATTTAATCTTTGCAATTGATTCTAGGAAATGATATTGCAAGGATCTGACAGTGTATCAAGTACTATCAGGCTAGTGCAATAGTGATTTTGGTTTGTGCATCGTTGAAATTTGCTGTTTGATATTGGAATTTGCTAAAACATCGGGATTACCTCAAAAATTTGAACCCTTAAACCGCAGTTACTTTTGCACCAACCCCAATACTGTGGTGGTGAAGGATTACTGCTATGTTACTTTTCCGATAGTTTTTGAAGGTCGTCATTTTTGAACATGAAAAGAAGGCCGTTTGGGAAAAATGAGGACGTTCATCAATGTAGTAAATGAGGCCATACGTTCGTTCGATCGGTCGTTGTTGAACTGAGCGGATCGCATAGGCTGGTGCGTCGGCCATCTCAATTACGGCGTCGACAGACGCTTTTCCCTGGGTACGGACGGAACAGTTTCGTGCCTTAGCAGTCACCACCATCTGAACGTTCGAATATCTTCTTGAAGATTAACTTTGAAAAAATTGATTTTTTATTTTCAAAACTAGTGCATTTTTTCGTCGACTGCGGACTGGAACATTTTTCTTTTGAGATGAAGGACATGTTTGATTGAGTATTTGTGTAACAATTTAGACTGATTAAATGCTTCAAGCCTTTCAGGGGACTAGTATATGGTATCTCTAGTGGTAGACATACATTTCGGCGTTCGCGCACCGCCTCAGCAATACCACATATCTTTCGTTTCACTCCTACACCCAATGGTAGCGACGACGAAGACGTGTCACTATCACTCCACGTCAAGTTAAAAGATCACCTGATATTGCGCTCTAAAATGATTTTAAGTCGATAGTTCATGGCTGATTAACAAGGGCTCAAAACGTTCTATCAGACTATATTGAATTTTCAAGCGAGGTCTCAGCATAGTCGATTGGAACGTATTATACTATTGCTGTAGACAACTTGCTCTTTCCAAGCTCTCACGAAAGAGATCTTACCTAAATGTCACTAATAACGATTTAACCTTGTTCAACAGACTAGAATCTGCTCAAAAAGCGAATATTAGCAATTTGAAGCGTTTGAAACTCAATTTCTGAGATTTCGGCATAGTTCACTCAGTAAAAACGTTGCAGCTGAGAAAACCACCAAGCTTGAAGTCGGCTGAAAATTTCATGACTTCGTCTTGTCATTGATATGCGTTTGAAAGAGTGTTGTAGAAGGTTAATTGAATGCAGAAAACGAAATTCTTCGAAGCTTTATCGATCTCATCAGGATTTATGCTGTTTATTCAGCGATGATGTTTTAGCTTTGTGGTGTCATGCAAGGTGTAATGTCATGCGAAGGCCAAACTACTCATTGATCACTATTTTCAACAGTCATATCGACTCAGTGCAAATTATTTCTTATCGTCGGTGTCTTTGGTTTTTTTTATTAATAATGAATCGTAGTGTTTACTCAATGTTGACAGTAATTTATACTCTTACATTGGAGCATGTCATTTTGAAGATCAGGTATAAAAACAATGGTTTTCAGTGAATAATAAGTTGAACAAGACTTCGATCATTTACTAGATATACGAGAGATCGTAAAAATTTTTTTTTTTGCCTTTTCGTTTCTGCATAAAAGTTTATTGTTAACGAGAGTATCGATCTTCTTCAAAATGTTTACACTTTACTTCCAGTGCGTTTTCGTCGCCGGCGTTGTGTTTTGTTTGGGAAGATTTAAGTACTCGTTTCACATTGCTGATTCGTTTCCAAGTAGCTTTTGTTCTCCATCTTTAATAGTAGAAAGGAAATGTTCATATTGGTGCAAACTCTTGTAATCCACACGACTACCATGATCAACTAGAAGTTTTTTACTTCATCGCTTCTAGCAGTGGTATGATGCCACAAATACCTAGGAATAATTCTGAGTGATATGCAAAACCTTTAACGTCATGCGGGATTCAAACCCGCATTTCACTTTTCCAGGGGGGCGTGCTAACCATTGCACTACCAATGCTCTTGTTTGAGTATCGCTGTTTCTGCGGTATAACGCATCGATCTGTCAGCAACCAACCGTAAACGGTTTAGCATGGAAAGCGGATATCGACATTGATCCCATTTATGCTGACGATTATTGAGGATGTATGACCAACTAGAATTCTATTTACTTAACAGATTTTAGCGGTGGCATGACGTCACAAATATATATCCAATAATATTGAGTTATAGGCAAAAGTGTGAACATCAGACGGAACTCAAACGTGCATTTCGCGAACCATTGCACTGTGAACGCTCCTTTACTGCTATCACTCTATCACTTTTTCTGTTTTTGTTTCTTTCTTCTATTTTTATCACGATCTCCGTCATTCCTGCATGTATCATTGCATTCGGATATGTTCGCTCTAAGGATTAACTGCAGGATCTAATGACGTGGATTTGAACGGTGAATATGAAAGGTGGAACTGAAATCGATCACTGCCGTCCTTCAGATCCTGTCGAGCATACATTGTCATTATCGTCGCGAATATTTCTCTTCGTAATGTCTCGTCGTCTATGATTCCCAGTGTTTGATTGTGATTTCAGACGGAGAGCGCTTCTTGTTGTCAGTTCAACTGACGACGAATGAAGAAGCTGAAGCGGCGCCTAAGCGCGGCATTTCGCGGCCGCGGTTCTCAGCAGAGTGTTGAGCTGTGCGGAGCGACACCCTTAGGCAATGGAGTTCATACAATCCATCATCCAGCCTCTTATGGACTGTTTACATCGTCACCGAATCGTGCCTGGAGCCTGTCTGATTCGATGAATCACCTCGCCGACAGGTAGGCCTAGAAGAACTACATCTCTTAAGTTGTTATACACTCGCTCACTTTAAACGTCGGGTTAGGAATATCGTTTCTATTGTTTTTTTTTTCTAATTAACCCTCTACGGATGATGAGGGTCATTTTGATTCTCAACGGCTTTTTTGCTTTACAAAGTTATCGTTACGGCTTGCCAAATTTAGAATTTTAGTAGTCATTCAAAACTTGACTGTCGGCGATTTCAACACTGCTTGTTCTCGGAAAAGACTTTCTTAATTTGGTTTAACAGCAAAAATGAAATCATGTATCACACTCGGTTTACTTTGTTCTTTCGTCTAAGGTCTGTGGATCGCTTTTCATTGTACTATATCAATACTCAATCGATAGCACAAATCTCTATAAATTCGAAGCTAGATTAGGTTTTGAAAAGTTCTTTTTAGTGTGCTGTAAGAGCGAAACTAAAGTTTTATATTCGGAGTTTTCTTCGCACATTAGAGCTATGTATGCATAAAAAATATATGAGTGTGTAGAGAAAATTTTATCGGATGAAGTTTTTGAGAGAAAAATCTCCATTAAGTAACAAAAATCGTGCGACGCTTGTGATGTCGATTATCCTTTCGTCCTCAAAGGGTCAAATTCAGAACGGTTCGCTCGTAATTGCTATTTGAACATAAAATTTCTTCATTCTCGATGAATTTGGCATTTAGTATGATGTGAACAAGACAAGCACTGAGATGGACTGAAGCATCGTCACTGATATCCACCCTCTCTCAGTTTTTTTCTAATGAGGGTTCTTCTTCTCGATGATTTCAAGATCATTTCCAGCATGAATCATCTAAAAAATAAGAGCTGTCGCTATTCTTTGGGCTTTTCAACATTTCTCTAAATCGCGTTGCCCTTCTCCGCGGCACCAAGACCACTCCGTTGTGAATCAATCAGGAAGACTGTACTATGTCCTAGATTTCCATTTGCAGAATTTTGAAAAGAAAAAAAGTAGTGTGAGATTGGAAATGTTCTATCTGAGGTCAAATATACATACCGGAGGTGTATTTCCCAAATTTGAGGCCGTCAGGAGCTTATCTGCGCTAATGTAATACGTAGTTGTACTTTCTTATTCTCACGTTACAAATAATTTTTGTTCTTTAAAACTATTATTACTGTATCGAGACTCTGAAATCCGCTGATTTAGTCAGCGATCAAAAGTCATGGATGTTGGAAATCAACTAAGTTGAAAGATTTTTTTAATAACAAATTAATGGATGCACTTCGAATATAGTAGGTAAAAAATTGGAAAGCAAACACGCTACCTTTTACTTATCTGATGAAATATCTCCTCAAAAATTTTTTGTACCATCGAAAACATAATATGCATTGCCAAACTTGCGTCGACTATGCTATGACTTTCTGCATCTCCGTAAAGCAGTTGTTATCAACACTAAACGTATTTAATCTATCTAAATTCGTAACAACCACCGCGGTTTCCAAAGTAGTATGGTGCTTATCAAAGTTCTTACGATTATTCGCATATATTCATAGCGTTGTGCTTAGAGATGTCTTGCAGTGTACACATGGTTGTTGGTCCTATCCCATTCTTTTGGCAAACCAAGACGTTCATCCTTCGGGCGTCGTCATTTAGATCTTAGACTTTTGTGCAGCAATGTAAGCACTGAGTAAAGTGTCGATAAACCAACACGAGTCATTTTTTAGACCAAATGTTCATCCAGTCACCTCTACGATGCATGTTGGAGTCAAATCCATGGTGTGTCGAATCAGAAAGTTTTTACTAGCAACTTTTTTCCTTTTTAGCTGGATATAAAGGATAGATAAGGAATAAAGCCCTCGGCATTGATCAATCCCTGGTAGATTTGCCGACAATCACCGTTTTTAGTACATCTGAATATGTTTCGAAAATATCTAACAAGCGTATTCATCAGTTTTACGAAGAAACAGTGCCAGTCTCATCACTGAATTTCATCGTTTATAGATATAATGATAAATTATAGTAAGACTGGTGTCAGACTTCGGCTGCTTCTTTGTGATTCAACTTTTACTTATTTATTTATTCCATTCATTTATATGAGCCGCCATTACATCTACTGGGCGGACACCAGTACTTTTTGTATTCAATCCATTTCCTTGCATCTATGGTCCACAGAGCTCCTCGAACATCTTGAGTGTTTTTTTGGCTGTTGTTTGGAAATATTGCCTTTTTTCTGATGAATGTCGTAGAATGCTGATCGAGTGCATTCTTCTTGCAATATTGGAGATCGTTCGAGATGAGGCGTTCCCACGTGGATTACAAGAGCAGTGAGAAAGTGGGTCGCACCAGCAACTTGTTTCCAAATGAATTGCCTCACTAACATCTCAACTATCCTTTTTTTGCTTAATTCATGCTTACGAATAGATACAGACAAAATTTTTATGGAAATATCACTTAGAACAGAAAGCATTTTAATTGTAATTAGATATAGGTGAGAATGTTCTCGATGTTTGCCAATGACTCAAATCGTTTGTGAATCATCTATGAAAATGAACAACTATGATCTATAGTGCTATATATGACGAGGTTTAGTGTGAAAGATTGCAACAATCAACATCGTATTAGCTAAAACCAACGTTCTAACGGTTTCTCGCACCTTTAACCCATGTTATAGCGCAGGTTCACCAGTGTGATGTACATGACATTAATTGAGGCCCTTACAGCATTTATGGGTGCTTAAACCTTTTTCAAATCGCTTAGCCTAATTCGAATTTTTTGGTGATTCCAAACCATTTCGTTGCGTCGAAGCTGTTTATTGATTTTTGAATGGATACCGATTCAATCATGGAAAACTATACTTTTTTTCGACGATAATGAAGTCATTGTGGCGTGTAATTGGACGCCATGACATAAGTCATTGTGGCTCTTGCTCATTTGAACAAGCTGGTTCTACCTAAGTTGATTGCTGCTCATTTTCTTTGTAGTTCATTTTGCTGCAGAGGTTTTCGCTACTTTTTGTACTTGATAGCTTACCTAACGTATTGTGCTAAGCGTTGGTCCGGAATTGCTGTCCTACTTTTCTATGAATTCAACGTCACACACTGTGCTGTTCCGTCGTCCTCGAAGGTCGTCGGATTTGCATTTGGGTTCGATTGTCACCTGGGACCGTCGCCTTTTTTGAGAACTTTAATGATTTCCCATATCGAGTTGATTTTGGAATTCTGTAGGCCCTAACTTGAGTTTCTGTGGTCTTCTGCACAAATATCCCCTCCTTCCTGGATCAGAGGGGCTTCTTCGAACAGATAAGCCTGATATCCATTTGTCGACCACAGAGGATGGAATGTTTCGTTGGAGAGTATGGATACGAACCAGCTACCACACGTGTATCACCATACAACGTTTTAATCACTGCGCTTTTTGCCCTCAAAATTGTTGCCTATACTTATGGATTTGCAAAATTCTGTTTTTCGAGAGATTTTATTAATTTGATTCGAATTATTACTCCTGAGTGTCCTCGTTGTCAGAGTGCGTACAAAAAGCGAGGGTATCACATATGACGAGGACACCAGAACGGCGGCTAACGTGAGTCTGCTGAAATTAATTGCCTTTTACGGCATCGTAGAAGGACAAAGATTTTTGCTAATGAGAAGGGTATGTATAAATCGTCCACATGGGGCAGGGGCGCGTCTAGCGCAGTGACATAAAGGTGTCCTGCAACATATATGTCTGCTGATCCTATCCTGCATACAAGGTCAGCAATACCTTTCATCTGTCCAGTTTTGATAGATGCCACCAGATACGTCTGGGAAAACGAAAATATTGACTTGATAAAAGACACTTTATTGGCCAAGTGTACATTCAGTCGGCTCTACGGTGATCAACTTTTCGCTCTAAAACTGGTTTTCGATTAAGTGCCAATAATCTTTCACTAACTAGTGCATTTCCGCAGCAGAGGGCGTACGATACTGGTGGGAGAAGCTTCATCTGATGTCTCAAAGGTGCATCGCTTTTTATGAACTATCAATTCAACTTAGTTTTGTTTAGAACCAAAAATTTGAGAAAATGAAGAACAAAATCTTAGAACTTTGTGAAGTTCACTGTAAACTCAGCAACCACAAACAAAAACACTACATCGCTGAATAATATCGCTCCCTACTAGACTAATGTGTATTTTATAACTGTAAACAGATATATTAATTTATGTTCAAAAGCGACTATTATTTTTGCAAAGTGGTAAACAC